AGACGTCTGTCCAGAAAACGCAGAGGTCACCCTCACTGACTTCAGGGAGTACCAGACAGTCGTTTTAGATCCAGAAGGAGACGCACAAATCGATCCTAACTGGGTGGTGCTGAACCAGGTCAAGCGATTATGGCTTCTTTGATTTTTGCTGTTCTATTTTGTTGCCAGAATAACATGTCATGAAATAACATTTCTCTACAATCCACTGTTCTGTTTGTACAGGGAAGAGAGATCGTCCAGACTATGAACAGCGATCCTGGATTGGCTGTTGGTAAAAAACTGTTTGACATTTCAAGAAAATATAAAATATAAATATTAAACTGCCATCTGAAATGACCGAAAATGGCATGGATTTGTTTACAGGAAACCAAATTCACCTACTAACAGGCCCCTGGCTGTTGCTTTAATTTACTGCACATAGAGCTAAACGTCTATGCTACATTTTAAAAACAAAATCTGATGTGAAATAATTTGTCCTGCAGGTTACACGGCTTTCAGCGGAGTAGATTTTGAAGGAACATTTCATGTTAATACGGTAACGGACGACGACTATGCAGGTTTTATATTTGCGTACCAGGACAGCTCCAGCTTCTACGTGGTGATGTGGAAGCAGGTGGAGCAGATCTACTGGCAGGCAAACCCGTTCAGAGCCGTGGCAGAACCAGGAATCCAACTGAAGGTATGTCACTGCCGTACTGTTTGCAAGAAATTCCAGCTCCACTTCAGGATAACGGATTAGTCGTAAAGAGACTTTGAGCTGTAACTAGTAGTTGTATTAATATTTAATCTATGGTTTAAATGCTTTATAGGGTCAAGGTTTTGCAGCACAGTCCATTTGAAGAAGTGTCCATAATGAAATAATGAGCTAAAAGACGATTATTTTTACTGCCTTGTGGCTTACAACCAACCAGTTAAACCTTAAAAACAATTTTAGTTGCCATGGTCAGAAAATGGTAGTAAATTTGTTGATAATCTGTAGATTTAGTAGAGGCATACAAACAGCCTCTTCTTTGGCTCTCGGAGGAGCCGGACACACTTTTTCTCCTCTCCCTTATCTTCCCTGCTTATGTCCTTGTCTAGTCTCGTGGGTTTTTTTTTTGTATTTTTGTATTTTCCCTGGAACACTCTCTCACAGTCTGTTCTCTAAAACCTAAAAGAGGAATTATGGATTGGATCAACTGGTCCCTAAATGCAATTGACACCCCTTTCTCAACGAGAAGTTTGGGCTTGGGTGAGCCTGAGTGCTGAAGATATCGACCTATTCGGACCATGGTAACAGGGTTCTGGCTGATCGGAGCTGGCTTGGCCCTGACTTATCGAAGAATTAAGAAAGCGGCTGTTCAAACCCCCACAAGGCTGCCCGCTGGGATTGGAACGATGGGAGAGGCGTGAGTTTCTCAAAATGGGCTCATTGAGTGCAGCACGGATAAGATCTTGGAGAGGCTACGGCTGCTGTGAATACTCAGAATAAGATCTCTGACTGCAGACTGGATACATCTCGGAAGGGCTAACCCGGAATAACATCTCTGGGCGCAAAATTGGATGACATCTCGGGGAGACACACTGCTGTGAGTTCTCAGAAATTGGCTCCTTGAGAACAAGAAATGACAACACAGAACGCAAGTATGGCGAAGCTCGCAGCTCTCCAACGGGAGATTGAGAGACCAGTGTTGGACTGTAGAACTGCTTTGAAATTCATATGAGCTGTTCGCACTAAAGTAAAAAATACCATCACTTATGCGGATACCCTCTCGGCGCCAGCTGCAAGGCCGGAGCTGAACAAAACACCCTGATAACGACTGTTTAGTCTGTTCCTTCCCATTCCATGCAAGGCCACCAGGGTTGGCTGGAAGACTGTTTACTTAGCCTAGCAGGGTGAAGGACACTGTCTCAGCTGAACTATGGACACGCACACACATACATATACCAATACTGATAAGCGCTCACCGACGCATCACCCTCCCTACCCCGGATCCAACGCCACCTCCAACGCTTACCTCCCCTCTGATGTGGACATCGGGTCAGTTGGAGGCGCAGTCGAAAGATTGCAGCGGTCCCAGATCAGATGTACACACTGGAACTCTTTCTCATGTTGCTTGTCTGTGTTTATTGTGCTATGGTGTGTTGATTGATATCTGTGCCTGTAGCCTGACATGTCTCCCCAATGTGATGTTTGTGTATTGTATGTACGGTCGGCAAGGTCTGTCATCTCGGTTGTGGGCAAAAGACCTGCAACTGACAAATAAAGGCTCTCTCTCTCTCTCTCTCATATGAGTTGTGAAATAATCTATAATAAAAAAACAAAAACAAAATGTGATCGCAAACACGTTATCCCTTTTTTTACTCTTCTTAAGGCAGTGAAATCAAACACAGGTCCAGGTGAAAACTTGCGGAACGCTTTGTGGCACACGGGCGACACCACCGATCAGGTGAAGCTCCTGTGGAAAGACGCTCGCAATGTTGGCTGGAAAGATAAGACCTCGTACCGCTGGTTCCTCCAGCACCGGCCTGCTGACGGCTACATCAGGTACCGTGACACACAATTAACGCTGATGTTTTGTAGGAGCCACAGGCTGGAAAATAACATTCATCTTATGATAGAGAGTGTGTGTGCATATTTGTTTAATCATCTTAGTGAGGACCAGTTCGAGCATTGGACCATTAGATTGGAGACATTTTGAAAAACTGAGGACCTTGAGATTTTCTTTAGGTTTAACATTAGAATAAGGTTTTAATTTATGGTTATGCATATAGATGGGATGGTTAAGAGTACGATAAGGGGCTAGACAAAGGTTTTGTATTTATTTATCTATTGGGTGCGTCATAGTCAAATATGTGGAAATGTCTCTGTGCCTGTGAAAATACTTTCTCAGCATGAAAGTGTCACAGGTGTGCGTGTGTGTGAACTGGGTGAGGTCTGATCAACAAAACTGAGTAATCATGAGTATCAGTGCCAGGGATGCCAGCAGGATCAACAAATTAATCCCTAATGCTGGAACCATCACTGGCCAGAACCTGGAGACATCTGAGCCAATGAGGGACAAGAGGTCACTGAACAAACAGCTGTCTTGCCCAAGGATACAACGACCGAGACTGTCCGAGCCGGGGCTTGGACCGTCAACCTTCCGGTTACAACTCTTTGAGCCACGATCGCCCGGCTTATGTAGCTGGGATGGTTACGGTTATTATAAGGGGCTTTCCAAAGATATCCATGCAAACTCGTGTGTATTTATGTACATGTGTCATAGTCAAATGTGTGGAAACATCTGTGTGTCTGTGGAAACATTTTCTCAACATGATAGTGCCAGAGGCATGTAGTCGAGAATAGATGAACATGTACAGTGAATACATGCAACAGTTTTATAAATATTTCAATAAAAGTAAAAATTTGATTACATTGGTGGTGCTAGAGAAAAAGAATCAGCCATAAAATGTAATTCTGCAAGTGTTATTAACACTTTGTTAATGCAATGTTGGTTGCTGCGCTTTGTTGGTTTGCAGAGTTCGTTTCTACGAGGGCACTCAAATGGTAGCGGACACGGGCGTCATCATAGACGCGACCATGAGAGGAGGCCGACTGGGAGTCTTCTGCTTCTCCCAGGAGAACATTATCTGGGCCAACCTGCGTTATCGCTGCAACGGTGAGTGAAACATTCAGAAGAGTTGAAAGGCTGGACTGCAGCCACAAAGCGTTTTTCATTTATTCAACAATGTTCCTCTGCCAAGGAAAGAACTAGTGCCATTTGTTTCTTTGTCAGCAGGAAATACCGAGCCAAATTTCACAAAGCAATCAAACATAAGCCATTTCAGTTTTAGTGGCTATATTTAGAACACTTTCTTAAATATGAAAAATATTGCTTTTACCTTGCAGAGGATTCGCTCTCCAAGTGCCCTGCTAGCTTTTGAAGCCAGTCATGTCTGATGTTGGATAACTTGGTTATTTGATGTGTTTTTGTTAACCAGTTATGCACTGACTGGAAGTATGCTATTATTAGCAGAGCCATGAATGCTGCCACAAAATGTGTGATTTTTCAAACTGAATTGTGAACTGGCTTTCCACTGTGTTTCTTCAGACACTCTTCCAGAGGATTTTGATGCTTACAGAGCCCAGCAGGTCCAGCTGGTAGCCTGATGACAACAAACAGGCCCAAAGAGAACGCTTTCCAATGCACAGCTGGATCTCAGAAAGAACATCATCACGGCGATAAGTTTAATTAAAAATCCAGCAGAAGTGTTGGAAATGTCTCCAGTGAAAATTGATTGATTGTGGTGCAGAGCAACGGTAATATGTGTTCAAAGGGAAGTGGTATAATGTTAGATTAAAAATTATATAACATTTTCCACTTCAGAAAAACCACTTGAAAAGATTGGACTGTCACTAATGAATAAATGTTGTTGTTGTGTGGGAATCTGATGTCTGTGCATACTGAAACCATGGATATCAATGCATCTAATATCCCTGTTTAGATGCATCCACTTGGGGATTATAGCGCTTACCATCTTGTTTTTTTGTTTTTTGTTTTAAACTAGATGTCATTAAGACACTGGACATTCACCATGAGGGATCTGTATATGACAATGTAGTCACTCCCCAAAGCAGGCTATGTTTTTCTCTCAATTTTACTCTAAATGGGTAAATAATTTACAAAATAAAAATTAAATTGTATTAAAGAGAACCTGAAGCTAGCAGCTGAAACAATACATTTATGAGTAAACTGTTTACTGTGGGCATAAATCGAGTGAGCAGTAAGGTCATGTTTCTTATAGACTTCTATACAAATTGGCTAGAAATAATGCAAGTTTAAAGCACTTAAGAATCAGCTCGACTTCTCAGACCGAGAAGTTTTATAGCACAGTCTATAACAGAGAAAGGTAAATTACATTTACTTTAGTAAAATTACGTTGATGATCATTCAATTTAAAATTGGCTTTATAGGTATTATATGTTATTAAACAGGAACAAGCCGAACGTGATTTTAAGTAACAGACTTGACTGTTTGTTTTCAAACTCAACAGCTTTTAGTGGAAATTAACATTCTGAACAAGTCACAAGCATGCACATATCCAAAATAATCTTTTAAATTTGCATTTGGAAATACAGATTACAAAATAGAAACAATAGCAAAGACAATATACAACAGGGTTGAAACATCATGCATGTCCACAGCAACACGCTGTGATGCGACACTGGACAGTTTTTTTTTTAATCGGCATATTCTGCAAATCAAGACTATGTGCAGAGAAAAATCTGTCTTCCACATTCAATTTAATTTGACTTTTTTTTTTCTTATAAACAAATGGTCACGTAAAGAGAATCACATGGCAACAAATAAATAACTACAGTTCTGTTACTACGACTTACAGGACAACAGTGATATAATGCTATTCTCACTAGAAGCTTTAAGTGGAACTTAAACTCTGTTTTATTTATTTTTGTTTACACATATTAATTAACGGTAGAGTCATTTATAAAACCCCATATTATTAAAGGGACATTTGAGTCAAACCTAAAGTCTCTGGGAACAAGCAGTACAGACCAAGCAGCAACTCTTTCCTTGTATTCTGGGACTGAGGGCACACCTTTAATCGCACGCTCCTGTTTGAGCATCACTCATCAAACGTTTTTCAGTTTGTGACAAAAATGCAGTTTGTGCCTTTTTATGGCAAAAAAAGGGAACGGGCTGTGCCGAGAAGTACCTCAAGTAAGTGACGTCTCAGACTAAAATAAGCAAAAGTCTCAAAACTAAACAGTGTATCAGACATAAAAAGACATTTTCAGATGACCTGTGCATCTTATATTTGAAATAAATGGACCCCCAGCTCTCTTCATTTCACCATGTCGTCTCAGGATCGGCCTATTTTGTGAAATTACTTCAAATCTGATCAACAAACCTGACATTTTTAGTCTCTTTTACTAATTTTAAACTAAAGTGTTAGCTGCCTTGCATGAAGTCAAGTCTATTACCAGAGTTATAATTACTTTTAGATAAAACCACAAAGAAGGCGTTAACACACCTCATCAGCAGTTTCTAAGTAGTGTGAGTTCAGCACGAGCTCCTCTCTAGTACATGTTCTTGTTTTAACTGTTAGGCTTGTGGGTGGATATTTTAGACAGGAAAAAATATGACAAACCAGTAGTTTCGAGTTTTAGCTACTAGAGTAAAGTCAGACTGTGTTGCAGAACTGTTATTGGCAGCATATGTATTTAATGGCTCAGTCACAGTAGAGTAAAAACAGGATGGAACCTCCTTGCGCCTAGAAAAGGAAAATTGGTGGTTGCCCCATGAATGCATTGACTTATTTATTTTCTGTCGGAGACCAACCATAATTAGTTGCACCCGAGGCTGACCGCGCACCACCTCTGCACAGATCACCTTGTGGGGGGGCAATTGGTCTCTAATTTTCAAATGCAGCCAAAACTGCCACCACGGTGCAATCAATCTTAGTCGGTCTGCGGCGATGAGCACAACTCATCTGTGAGTTGCCACAGTGGGCTCGACTCAGCTGGTTGCAAACTGTTTGTATTCTGTTCATATCGCTGAGGTTCTCACTGGACTCTAAATGCCCAATGTGAAGTTTTATATGTAGCCAAGTCTCATTATCACCAACAGACTGCATGTAATAGTCCCTTTGACCGTATTCAATCGCAAAGTCATACCAGCCTGAAGCCATCTTAACAGCAGTAAGTTCCTGTGAAGATGGCAACGCACTCTGAGTGCTTGCATACCACTTTCAAACCACTGTTTACTCTAGTGTGACTGTGACATATGTAGCTAATTAGTGTTTGAATCAGTGTGTGTGTGTGTGTGTGTGGTGTGACCAACAAAGAAACACATTCGGAATGCCTATCCTTTCCAACACAAGCACACAAGCTGCACTGGAGTAAGCCCTTTCTAGTTTTGCATCCCCTAAGATCTTCACAGATTAAAAAACAAGACAAGCCAAAATATAGTTTACAAAGGAAAATAGAGAATTCATCTTTTCTTTGACATGAAAATATTTCCGGAGTATACATCTGGTGTGAAACAGTCAGCATTCACGTCAGGCAGAACAGTCTCTGCTCAAAAGCCAGGAAATCACAAATAAAGTGCGAAGCAACCAGTGGACTAAACGTTGCACACACATACACAAAAAAACAAAACAAAGAAAGAAACCAAGAAAATAAAAAAAACCCAACACACACAGTTGCTTTTTACCCAGTCCAGAACGTGACATGATAGGCAACAACAACAACAAAAACTATCATATCCGGTGTCTTGAAAAGCACTCCACTTCAGCATAGCGAGATCAAAGTCCTGCACATAACATGTTATAATAATCTGCTCGACGTGTCTATCATGTCATGCGGCTGACTGCGTAACACAGAAGCGTCAGAAGAGTCAAGTTCACATATGCAAACGATCAGCGCACGTGCCAATCTGCAACTTCCACGGGACGGATCCCGCATCAACAAAGCCAAGGAGAGGGCCGGAACGACCGCAAGGTCTTTCTATACAAGAAGGGACCGCTTTACACTCGTACGCAGAGAGATGCTACAGTAGTAGGAGAAAGCGTGGAACAAGCAACAGTCTGATTCCTTAAAAGGAGAAAAGGGGCAAATGAAAGAGTGCAGAGAGAAATGGAAGCCTGGTCGCCTTCTCTGACAGACCAAACGCACCAAACATCGTCGGGTTCATTTGGCAAAGGGTTAAAACTAGGACACTGCCACTTAAAATACATTCTTTTATCATTCATCAAGTAGCATTGTACAGAGATGGAGGTAACAGAGTCACTGAACAGGAGAAACCCTTACATGCATCCCTTTAGACTTTGTGGTAGTGTTACGTTACACAAATCAAACCTGCAGAGCTATAGAAGGCCTTCATTTAGAGGTTTTGACTGTCAGGTAAGTCATGCATTTTGTTTCAGCTATAGCATATGTACAAGGTCAGTGAATCAATGACTTCAGCAGGACGAAAGAAAGGAGATGGCAGGAAAGCTCAAATCACTGGCGTTATTGGCAGCACGACAGTGCACGTGACGCTTAATATCTTTTAGGTACACAAACCTTTGGAGATGTAATCCGTAGAGTGTGTTTTCTACACGTTTGTTTCGGAGGCTTGAAGGAAAAATCCAACGTTAGCTGCTTTACACGAAGCAGAATTAGTGTGTGTCGCATTTTTCTTCGTCCTGTGGGTAATGCAAAAGTTTGACACGGGTTCATTTAGGGTCAGGGGCAAAGGGTGTCTTTCTAGAGCAGCAATGTTGCACCATGTTCAACAGTCGCACAGGACGAAGAGGGAGATTCAGGTAATTAAATAAATCACAATTTACAGTTTTTGAGGCCAAAACTTCAAAAGTAAGCTGGATTTATGCTTCTCTGGTATCGAAATGAATTTGTATTCCACTTGTTGATTGTCATTAGCACCACCACGACACACTACAACATCCTACACGCGCACACTCCCAATAGTGTCAGTTTTCTAGCGTAGAGCCACGATGTTTAGTCTTTAAAAGAGATGCCGCCCAATTCCAGTTTTTAAGTGAGGTGATTTTTAATTCTGTCATAAACTACAAAGCCCTTAAAGTCATAAAATATTATACGGCCTGCACGACATTTACCATGTTTGACATTTTAGGTTCCATTTTAATCTGCAATAATGTTTCTCTTTAAAATAAAATTGACATCTCCAAAGTCTACCATCTGTAATACAAGAGTCACACTGCTTGCTCGCCTGCAAAAAGAAGAATAAATCCAGCTTAACGTGCAAATTCTGTTAGCTAATAAAACACCAGAGGTGGATTTTTTCCTTCAAGCATCTTATTTGTCTCATTTTGCATAGGAATCACAGGCCCGTTGAAGGCAAACAAAAACCGTTGATGGAGGTTTACAGCAGACAAGAAAACACTTCAACTGAGACGAACCGTCCAGCTGTAGAGGTAAACCAAACGTGATTCCTTTTTCTCTTTTTTCAGCAAGGGGGATTTGGGAACTCTTCCCATCAGCGCTGTGAGTAAAAATATTAGCACATCTGTACACAAACGTTACAATATAACAAACATGATCCCACAGACTGCACGTGACTCTCAGGGAAACTCTGACAAAAGATTTAGGCGGGCTGACTGACCCCTTAAAGTCTGTCTGCGTATTCAAACGATGTGACTCTGCTACACCGCCGATTTGTGTGGTGTTCATTTGGTTGCCAAAAAAATCAGATTGCACACAATACTTAGCATATAAATAGATTTATATAGCCATATTCTACTTTGTCTACTTTATCCCATCCTCTCATAAACTAGAAGCGTGGAGCTTATGAAAACCAAGTAGTTCAGTAAGAAATACCCACGCGTCGAGTCAGCTGCGTTTTTGTTAGAGCTTCCCTGTAAAGGAGCAAAAAGCCTCCCCACAATTGCGCTCCATCTCGAACACTTCAAACACGCCTTTGACTTTTTTTTTCTCTCGTTTTTGCCCCGCTTTAGAAAACATCCAACAATTTGGCTATAAAGTGTACCGCTACAAAATACAGTACATTGATTTGTCAAACCTTACACAACATAACCACAAACATCACTGACCAAAAGTTTCTCTCAAATACGAGAAAACGTTACAGTAAGTTACGAAAATACGCTGTCACGTTAGACACTTAAGTAGAACAGTAGAATACTCCCGTAAGGCAAAATCAGGTGATTTCACAGTGACGACTTTAAAAGATTTCAGTGATCTCTGGTTTAAAAACAGACACCTTCCTTCACTGAGAAGAGGGTCGGCCTGAACGTGTATATATGTATGTATTCTGGCTTTTCATCAAGAGAAAATAAATTTAGATGCTTCTGTTTTTCTTCCTGATGATTTTTCTCAGTTAAAGATCACGTGTGTGGCTTTACGCCAACGCATTTCCGGAGCACGCAGCATTTTTTGGAGCGGTGCTAAAAAAAAACTGTCGTATCTGGATTGGACTGTTGGGCTGCAGCATGGTTAACGGTCGCCACATCTTACATCAGAAAATGGCACACTGAACACCGAAGGGCAACTATGGGGAGGTTTTGCACTCCTCGATAAACCAAAAATAGCTTAATAAACACATTTATAAATATGTTAGTAATCAATAAATACACACAAATTACATCAGTGCAATATTACACGATGCCTACAGAAAACATTTTGGCATCAAATTGAAATTATGAAATGGAATATAAAATCTTTAACCAAATAAATAAATAGAACATATAAATAGATGAAGCATAAAAACACACAAGTACACAATGAAAATAACATTTGGTTGTCAAAAATAAAGCTTTGAGTGTGAAATAGAAAGCCGTTATAGCATGATGGGAAAACCGTTCTATTTCATTGCACGGTATTAGCAAAGCGACCATGTTTTTTTCGGTTTCTTTTTTCTCGCTCTCTTTTTTCTTAAAAACACGGCCGCTTATATCGGGTGCAGTTTCGCCCAATGTCCTAGCAGCTTCCTGCTACAAGCAAATATCAACAAAATAAATAATAAAGTGGATATGAAAAGAAAAGAAAACCGCCAAATGTGCGTTTTTGGAATATATGTGGCATGTAATGGTACACTGTAAACACAGTAGGCTAGCAAAAGCGCTGAGCGACCAATCTCATTCAAAACGACAGCGAGGCAATCCCCCCGGCGAGCCGCTGGATGTCTTTTTTCCCCCCTGTTGTCTTTTGGTGCCGCATTGTTTCAAAGGGCAAAGTCGGACAGCTGGACGGCCATGCAACGAGGAAGAGGGATCATCCTGCCCTTTGGTTCTCTCCATTAACGAGTTTTCTTTTTCTTCACGTCACAGCCTGTCCATTCTAAACGTGTCCTCGGTGGCGGGGTCGGCAAGCACCATGTCGGGGTCGTTGAGCATGTGCAGTCCGTCCAGGGTGAGCGGGTCGATCTTCAGCTCGTCCAGAGGGAATTGAGAATCTGCGTCGAAGCTGACGTCGCCAACTCCCGCAAGAGAGTTGGTCAGCTCTTTGGACAGGCTTGGCGGAGACTCACCTGTGACTGAGAAATACAAGCGCTGAGAACAACGTGCACGCCTGGCAAGAATCGGGTTAGAGTTTTTACTGATTCAAGCTAAATTGGGACAAGTATTTCTACATGTTTCCCTACCACAGAGATCCTATTTTAGAACTACTGCACAAGTGGATTGCAAAGTACCTTTAAAATCCAAAGACAAACGTTCAAGTCACTGGAAGGTTTACTTTGATGATAGTACACCAACTCTGCACAGACGTACGGTTTATTCTGCTATCGACTCTTATTTGGTGTTGTTTATTAGACTGGATGATAGAAGTGTATAAAACAAGAAACTTTGGCAATTTAGTAAAATGTGGAAGTGTCTAAAAGAAGTTGTTCCCTCGTATGGTCTCTGGAGAATTCTGCTGTTAGTTTCGGCTCAGTTGCCTTTAGACTTCTTTACCTTAGCCCAGATAGAGCGTATATTGACTGAAATCTAAGTCATGTGCAACACACCAGCACAGGGGGGCCTCGTTTATTGCTCATCACCGATGTTTTGACGGATGCTTGGCATTTATGCAAAGAACCTTTAATGTATCAAAGGGCAAACACACACAGATGCTGTGGCTACCTGTTAGGATGATGTTGGGGATGTTGCCGTGGCTGCTGTAGCCGAGCTGCTGAGAGTCGGGTAGGCTGCTCCCAGTGAGCCCCATCATGGCTGCCTGCGTGTAGTTGAGGGTGGAGCACTGGTTGTAAAGGCTGGTGGAGCTGATGGGGTTTTCGATCATGTTGAACTGCTCGAGCTAAAAAGCACAATTGTACACGTTACACACATTGAAGTCAGAGAGAATCTAAAGAAAACCTTTTACTTAACGTTACGTGTCACCTGATGAGAGAGAGCGTTGGTCTGCCTCGATGCCAGCTGTTGATCATAAAAGGAGTCGCCGAATATGCTGCCCACCACGGGGATGTGCTGGAGGAACACAAACAACCCCCAAAAATATATATGAGAAATACACCATTGCAGTGGCTACAATAATAACACAAATCTTTACAGAGAGAGAAAATATCTGAGTTCACAAGCAGACACTTTCAGCGATGGAGTAACAAAAAACACAAGCAGCACACAAAGTCACAGCTGTCAGAGTGAGCAGCGAGCAAAGCAAATGGACCTCGTGACCACGACTGTCATGGTTAAACACAAAAAGAGGAGGCTAACAGAAGATGCAATAGCGCCACTCTTTAATGATTAGTTTATTATTAAAATTGATAGCACACTTTACAGTTTTATTATAAATGACAAACAACCAGGGTGCTTCAGTTTGTCCCATCCTCGTAGATAGGACCACGACAGCCCAGATCAAGACAAAAACTAATTCAGATGGGTTGTTGTCATCATATTACCGTGGCAACACTCAACTCACCACCACTGTAGGGACTCCAGTGCAAAAAAGGTAAAGTTTTTTTTTTTTTTTAAATAATATTTATTATATTCTGGTATATTTGGAAAGTTGTCTGGGCTCATTGAGTATACACACCTACCTAGGATTTACCTTACAGCAGAAAGTGCCTTGAGGCATTCGTTGGTGTAATTTGGCACTACGGTATATAACTAAAGCCGAACTGAACACAGATATGTAGTTAGCAGGGGTAGTGAATAAAATGCTACTGATACTACAAGTGGCATCCATGAATTACTGTCTCCACATAGTAAGTGAGCTGTTGAGAATATGCTGAACTGTTAGTAGCAATGCCGTTTTGCCTCATTTAGCTACTGTTAGCCTCTGTTACCTGATGTTAGCCTCTGTTAGCCCCTGTGAGCTTTACATCTAGTCTTTGTCTTCATATAAAGTCCAAAACAGAGGCAAACAACATAAGATCCCCTTCCACTGTTTCAAATAATTAAAAAAACCCCAATAGAGATGAAACAAGGATGCATGTTCTGGAAACTAACTGTAATTAAACTGCCTTTTAAAAAAAACTACATTTACACTGTAGTGTAAATGTCCAAATCACTGGGATGGAACGGCTAGCCCAGGGGTAGGCAACTCCAGGCCTCGAGTGCCGGTGTCCTGCAGGTTTTAGATCTCACCCTGGGTCAACACACCTGAATCAAATGATTAATTCATTACCAGGCCTCTGGAGAACTTCAAGACATGTTGAGGAGGTCATTTAGCAATTTGGATCAGCTGTGTTGGATCAAGGATACATCTAAAACCGGCACTCGAGGCCTGGAGTTGCCTACCCCTGGGCTAGGCCAACAAGGTTATCTCCCTAGCATAAAGTTTGCATGATGATGACCTGACTATGTGACAACAAAGCAGATATTTTTTCCTGCACGTACGTATCTTGCCACCTACATGCTCCAGCCTGGCATGTCCCCCACCCATGAAAAAACAAACAAACCAAGACTTTCCTCAGAATATATCTGACACAGAGAATATAGTTTGGGTGAATTACATGTGAGAAACTGTAATGGTTGAGGATACAAGATGAATATTTTAAGGCTACAAAGTGTCATAGCCTCCATCAATAGGCTATCAATATGTTGCCATGCACGCTGTGAACGATGGCAGTGCTGATGAAGAAATGAGCTATGCAGCTGTTGACAGCATGAGTGATTAAGTGTGGATACAGTGAATGAAAAGCAGCCTAACTCTCTACAATTAGCTTTCCCCCAGGAGCAAAGCCCTTCCCCAAACAGCAGGTAGCTCGGTGGGTGGGCCCTTACTTGAGGTGAGCCTCCAGGGGAGAAGCCTTGATTGGAGACTGGGGAGGTTGGAGACTGAGTGGCTGGTGAGCCAGTCTGATTGCGGTACTGTTGGAGGGAAGAGGGTTAGCTAGCACTAAGCTTCATGCCTGTCATACACAAGTCTAAAAACGATGACATGTGAGAAGGCATCAACTTAGGGTCTGCTCAAAACATATGAGGTAGGACTAAAAAGCTCAGGAAGCTAGTCCATGGAAATCAAAGACCTTAGCTGATTAAACTTTGATCTATTAAGGATTTAAAATCATATCTGAGTGCATCTCTGGATCACTTTCAGCAATGCTGCAATTTTTACATCGGTCTCTGGAAATGTTGTTCTGACCTTTTCATCAACTTCTATTTCAAGCTCAAATGTGTGGATGTTTTGTTTGTGGATGATTATCGGTGTTGAAGAGAACTAGGTACTAGGTAGGTTTCCACAAAATATATGTTTTCAGCTGTTTACACCTAAAGCCACATTTTCCAAGGAAAAATTCAAAAGTCGCCACTGTGGAATATGTGTGGGAGCCCGCATGGAAATGTACATTTGCATGTGCAAATGTGGCATAAGCTAGAATAGACTATAGTGAAGTCCGGGATATTTGGGATCACTTCCTCCTGTTAAATTTGACTCCTTAAAAAATCAAGTTAAAGAAACACAAGTTTGATGCACTGTTCAGGCACAAAGCTCAAAGTCTGTGCTTTGAGCACTCAACAGTAAAAAACAAAACACCTAGTCTAGTGCAGTCCATCTAATCCAACCACTTACAAATGAAAGGGAGGCGGAAAAAGAGTTCCAGGTAAACCAACTAAATAAAATACCAGCTGGGCTTAAAGTGATCCAGGATGTTCTTGAAGAGACTGGGCAATGTTCAGTTAGGGTAAATCCTAAACCTTCTGATTATACCTCAAACACTTGTGTTTTAAAGAACGACCAAATGCATATTTCTTTTTTCATAAACCATCATTTCCAAAGATGTTAACATCAAACAACTTTACAGTGACATCGTGTAGCAAAGAGTAATATGTGTTTATGCTTCTTAGCTAAGTTAATCTATATAATTAGAAATAAATTAGCATAGAAAGGATGTGCAGATATTTACTGCGATGTATTTAGGGTAGCATCATCAAAGTGGTAAAATGAACAGCAGCTTAAAAATAAGCAAAATTATCTCAATCATGTCATCAGATTTTTATCTAAGCTTCCACGTTCTTGTTAAACTGCATCTTACCGAGCTGATGCTCATGCTGCCAGTGGTCTGGCTGTCTGGTGAGGGACTGCTGGCAGTGGCAGACGCTGTACCAGCGGAGGCCAGAGTTGGCAAGGTAATGAGCTGGATGCCTTGTGGCAGGGCCTGCTGCTTCTGGAGGTCACTGATCAGCTGAGCCTGAGCCTGAGCTGTCAGCTGGTTGAACAGAGGGTACTGAGAAAGCTGCTGTTCCAGGGTCAATGACTCTGTTGGCATGACCTGCAGAACGATGGGGATAAATTAGTCCAAGTAGCAGTGATTTCTGCTGCATGAACTGGAGGGTAGGGGTGTGGTGTTTAAATGTTTTATCTTATCTTTAACCGCCTAGTACGTGTTGAATACTCATTAGTATACAGCTTGACGTTTCAAAAGCACTACAATTTATGGATCTGTACTAAAAGCATAAGGACAAAGACACAGATATCATTAAGAGCCTGTTCTCAGCATTCAACAGTGCTATTTACACATAGGAACACATTACTGCAGATGATTTCAGTCACTTAGGGCCTAGCGACCCCCCTGGCAACCTCTAGCTGATAAGGAAACGTATGTATTCTCGAACCAGTTGAAAGTACCAGGTGAAATTATCTGCAAAGATAATTTGCAAAGATAATTTGTTGTTGGTGCAGTGCTGCACCAACAACCTCCTTGCGATTGCTTTGGTCTTCGGCACATGCCTGCAATTTGCCGACTTGACTGCAAAGACTCAACTGGAACTGTGAAAAGTCTCCTTCAAAGTAAAAGTTTGCTAAAATCAACATAGCCATGTAGTGTTTCTTTAACTTAACCAGACTGCAAATGAAGACTGGAAAAAAAAGAAAGATCAACTAAGCTGATAAATATGTAAATGTGTCACGGTCATCCACCACGGCCTCCCTACAATACCGACTCTGTTGCTCTCTCATGCCTGACTTTGTGAAGCCACACTCTTCCTTTCTACTGATGACTATCTGGACATAAACAAATACTGAACCAATGAGAGTTTGACCATAATGTAGCATATCCTAAAATGCAGTATTTTATTCTGTAATTTATTCTCTGCACAAAACCTACAAAATATAATTAATCATTAATGGAAAAAGACTTGAAACGGCACCATAGACTAATGTGAAAAATCCTTAAGGGTCAATATAATGTGACCTCTTTTTGCAGTAAGTGATGACACTTATTTGTTTCAAATTCAACACATCGGGATGCAAGTGCAATAACTATTTTTAAATTTCTGACTTCATCCATTTTTGGTCCAAATACCTTGGATATACAAATACATTGTTCCTGAAAGAGAATGAAACTAATTTTAATTAATCCTTACCTGTGTAATGCTAACTGGTGAGGAAAGGGTGGGTGAGAGCTGCTGAGGAGATTGTTGGAGATGGAGGTCAGAGGTTAGGGTAAGCGGCACCACCGGTGGCTGCCGGCGCTGTGCAGTCACGGTCATGGTGGGCTGAGAGGAAGTGGGGATCCCTGGGAAGTCAAAAAAAAGGAAGAAAAGAAACTATGGATGTACACGTACCTGTTTTTTGTCCCCAACTTAGCTTTAATGCACCAACTGGTGTAAATAAGAAACATCAGAAAAAGTAAAACAGCAAAAACCACCAACTTTAAATGCCTGCACGGTAGGGACTGATACTGAGTGCAGAAGAGTGAGTCTAAGTCAAAGTAAAAGTCTGTAAAAGTGCATAAATGTGATAAAGCACAAGCCCCTACATTTGGTATTTTACACATTAGGTGTTACAACATAAGAGACCGTTACAAACTGATGCTGAACCAGATCCTGTTGGCCACACTGCGTGCCGTCTGCAGAGCTAGACTCAACACTTGTGGAGCATCAAATTAAATCCTGCTGTTTTATTGTCATTTGTATGAAAACTACTGGCATGTTTTTATGTTTTCTTTCAGCTGCATAAGTGTTTAGTGGTTCTCCTTTGTGAACAAACACATTCCACTTAAAGCTAAATTTCTGTGCTACAACACTGATCGGTACAATCCCTCTGCTTAGTTAATTTTACCCGTTTTACCCCTTTAATGAACACAAAATGTTGATTATTACCGTGGCTGGCGGCGCTTATACCCAGGTGGGTGAGGTTGGTGGTGAGGCTGCCCGTGCTGTTGGCTGCGCTGAGGGAGGGGAAGGCCACGGTGTCCTCGGGGTCCAGCGGGGTAGAAAGCGGTGGGGGGAACTGAATGTTAGTCAGATCGGGCAGCGAACCGCCGGTGTTATGTGCGGCTGGGAGCACGGATGGGTTCAACTCCTGGTCTGGCGAGGGGAATATGCTGAAAAGAGCACATTTTCTATCAGACATAAGAACAGCTTGTGCGAAACAAGACTGTGACCAAGCATATGAGCATTTTTAATAAAAGGCAACAACAGCTAGGTGACAGTGGGTAGCATGTTTGCTTTAAATGCTATTTTAAATACTTCTTATAACCCACCTACAGTGGGTGGGTGCCACAGTATGACAGTCGATTTTCATTTTTCTGTATAATTTGAATTATATTACTCAGATTGTGCTTCTTCTGCAATTTTTCTGTTTTTAAATATATATTTTTATGTATTGTTCTTGTTAATATTATTATTATTATTATTATTATTATTTCTTTTTGTATTTTTAGTTGTCCTTAGCATAAAGCGCTCTACAAACAAGCTTGGCTAAACTGAAGCCTGTTGTGCTTTCACTCAGTGATGCCCACAGATAAATAATTCCCAGCTGTAGTAGAATTTTCCATCAGCTGACAATCCTTTCTCAGTGTGTATTCTGTGTCTCGTAAGTTCACTTTCTTGAAAATGTTTTCAGTTTCTAGCAAGGAGAAATCATTGCAAGACCTGTTTCATGCTTTGCTTTGGTCAGTTTGAACCAAATACAGCAAACACAAGCAGACTTCATTTAGAGAGAAGCAGGAACGATAATCTATTACTAATAATAGGAAATCTAAAAAAGGCTCTTTTGGCTGATTCTTTGGTCACAAAGGAAGCTCATCTGGCAGATTTTGATGCCAGATATTGTTTCTGGTGCAACCACCAAGGGATTTGTGTCTCCTGGGAACGAGTATGTGTAAGCCACTCCTGTTACAGCACAACATAATGATCTTGTAATAACGTTTCTTCTAGATTAATTACCTAATGGGTATTGTGTCCCACAGAAAAGTTGCTTTTAGCAATTTTTCCAGTTTTTTTCTAGCACATAATTGTAAACTTGTAATATGGAGGCTTAACACGAGTTACACAGAAGTGCACAGCAGGAGTGACAGGGTTTCATAATAGTTTGCTTCATTTTTGACTAACCAAATGAGCGTGCATTTAGTTTTTTTGTTTATTTTCTTGTATAACCTTTAAACGTGGATATTATTTGAATTTAGAAGCAAAAAAGATGCAAATTCTTTCGTGACGTCTCTGAGAACTGACAGCACATTTCGTGTTTCTTTGTATGTACAGCTGTCATAACATAATTTGTGATTTGTGAGCCTATAACAGAAAATATTACAATACTGTGCAAAGTTTTAAATTTGTTCTACTTTGCTTCCAAGGAGCCAGATTTTCTTTGAATTTGTTGAAAGTGTTCTTGAGTAATAGTTCTGCAAAGTTCTTATTTGGACATTTGCTGCTTTTTCACTCATTTTCAGTCCAGTCCTTGAACCTGACCATCTTCAGACACTGACCATTGAATCATTCAAATAAAAAAGGGCACCCCAGTCAAGGTTTTTTAGCAAAGAAGCAGTTTTAAAATATCTTGATGCATGCTCAATCATCCAGGTAAGTAAATCCCAAGAAGTTTCAGAAGATTCTGTTCATCTGGACGGACGTAGCGTTTTCAGTGGGAGAAACATTTTAATGACCGTGAAACTGACATCACAGCTGCAGTGGGCTAGTTTCAGTCATTGTGCAAAGGTAATGTTTATAAGGTTGGGGAAACCTGCAGGCAGCGGAGACTGAAGAAGTCACTTGGGTGACTGATGAAATCTTTCTCCCACTGAGAACACTACGTCCGTCCAGATGAACAGAATCAACTTTCTGGGAACCAGTTTTAACACTCAAAGAAGAGCTTCTTAGAAAGTCCTTGAAGAAGCTTCAAGGACTATTCCTGAAGACCACTTAAAGAAATGGTAAGAAAGCTTCCGTATTAGAGCTCAGGCTGTGTTTAAGAATAAACGTGTTCATACAAAAAACTCAATGTTGACTGTTTTTGCTCTACCTAATCACACGAGCCAAGGTGTGAAAACGGGTGTAGGTCACTATCAGCCAAGGTTTCGGGTGAACTCATTGTGAAACTCCCCCCCATCATGTGATTTCCGGAGGTCAGAAGGCCCAGGATGCGAGTGGGCATTAAGGCATCTGGGAAGGATCTCAAAACTGGTTTATAGATGGCAGATAGTTGTGGTCGTAAGCCACCGCCTCTATTCAAAGATGCTCATTCACAGTGGACATAAATGGCTTCTTTTACTCGTCTTTCAAACCATCAAACCATCTGAACATTGGCATCCTCAAAGGAGTGACCTTTGTCCTTTAGATGCAGATGGACCGGCAGTTGGCTGTTCTATGTTATGCCATATGTTATATTATGCTATTTCTTCATTCCTGTCTCTTATGTATACATTTGCATATCTAAAGATACATCAACATATGCCTGCAACCCCCCCCCCCCAAAAAAAGAAACAAAAAACAAAAACACATCCAAGCTTCACCAGTACGTTTAATCACATAAAACCCCCCAGTACCTTAAATAAACCATCCACCTATTAACTGTTTACTTAAATGCTGTGCCGAAAAACAAACAAAAAGATAGATATAGATTGGTAGCTACCTATATATATATATATATATATATATATAAATATAGATATCTATAGACATAGATATATAGTTATATAGATAGATATAAAAATCACATATACATCACATCATGTTGTTGATACTGGCAAGAAAAGATGGTCAACCAGTTTTACAAGCTGTGTCTCTGTTCAGCATCTGATGTCATCGTATCGACATTGTGCAGGTATAAAAGCTGCAGACCGTCAGAGATTAAACAACAAACAGCTGGAGTTGGTGAGCATCGGCACGACTGAAGACAACTCAGAACGATTAAACTGTAAGTTTTCAAATCTAGAATATCTGACTAAACTTTAGAGTCAGGGAAAGATTTACTGAAGACTTTACTTTGTTACAATATGGAAAATAAAATATGACAAATTAGTTCATGACCATCTTTTCTGTCAAGCCAATGTGGTTTTTCCTGAAAAAAGAAAAAAAATTGTGTTTTGCTTTAACCCTTTAAGACCTACCATAGAACCAAGTCCGCCAGAGCTTACTTTATATTTTTACATGCTGTAGTGCCATTTTTGGGAGCATTTCAAGTTGCTATACATCATTAATTGCAAAAAAGTGCAATAAACTACAAAGAAATTGTTTTTTACATATATTTCTACTTGGAGAAATTTAAGAGGCTTATCCCTTAAAACTTTAAATACAAAAAAGTTGCAAAAAATAGTTTACAACAACAGGAAATTTATTTTAAGTGTCTTCATAGTTTTATTTTTGAGATACACCATTTTTTATATACTGCAGGAAAAATGAAAAACAATCCTATGATGCAAATTTGCAAAGAAAACAGCATGTGCATCAAAATAGACTATTTCCAGCAGTGCAATTTGAGTTCTAAGCATCCCAGCAACTATTCAGAAAAGCATAAAGTCAAACATGACCAGTATAGGCTCTTAAGGCCTACAAGTAAAAAACTACATTTTCCGCGAAAATAACGTCACTTCCGGTTTCGGGCAGGAAATGGTGGACATGCGATCGTTCGCGCTGACGTCTGTTTCAATGTGGGAAGTGTTAGGAACAGCTGATCAGATCAGCAAAGTGTGTTTCTGGAATATTATGTTTTTGTTCCTGCAAGCGCTTTTTATGCAATTTTTGCAAAGCTTTATGTGGAAGGAAACTGTGACTTAGGACAAGCTGATGGCATAAGATGTAAGTACAACTCCTCCGGTTTCATATGCAAAAAAAAATTATTTCGCTAGCTTATGCGGTTGCAGAGCTACCAGGATTTAAAAATAGTTAAGCAAAAAAGAGCGTGCTGCTCTGACCGGCTTCAAAGGGTTAAAGCAAAAGTATGGAAGTGATTTTTTTTTTTTTATTTAAAAGTTACATTATTATCAGGGATGGGTTTTTATAATCGATTCATCGATTAAAATAGATTCTGGCTTGGATAACGTAAAATCGATTCATTAAAATCCTGAATCGATTTTTAAATATAAATTTATTTTGCCCGAAATGCCAGAATCTCAGGTGACATCTCACAAAATTTCAAGAACCACCAAACAGTTAAGACAGTAAATGAGAGCAGGTACACGGATTCTGCACAAAGACTTAAACACACAGCGCGACCTGCGAATCAGAATCAGTTAGATGTCGCCTTTCTCACGGTCGGGGCTGAAAGCCGACAGCTCGCTGATTCTGATCTGTCGGCGGGTCCGCGCTTTGTGTTCACGCCCTTTATGAGCCGATTCTAAAGCTGTTAGTTTGATCTCTCTCCAAACAATATTGACCAAACCAGCAGCAAAAGAAGATCCAAACGCTTCACATAAACATCGTCATGAATTCACTCTGACTTTTACTGTTTTGCTTCCACCGCGATGCACAGCTCTCTCTCTCTCTCTCTCTCCCTCTCTCTCTCTCTCTCCCTCTCTCTCTCTCTCTGTACTTCAAGAACAGTTTCACTTTCTTCATTATTCGCTTGCTTGTAACGCACCAGTCTACTGTTGTTTACAGCGCTGTCATCCGCTGTTTTTTTCCCCTTTTACATTCTTCCGAAAAGAAAACCTCATTTCTGCTGTTCAATGCTGAACAAATTTAAACTTTTTAAAATTATTCAAAATGCAAAACGCTTAACCGTGTCTCTAATAAAACTGCTGTAACTTCAGAGGTTATGTTCATATGTTGAATAATGGTTTTCTTTCGTTTTTGATGTACTGCAGAATATTTTTATAAAATCCCAGGCCAGGAAAATCACCTTCATGTTTTTCTGTGTTTTATCTTCAGCTACTTTGACACAAAGGCATCTGTTGTGATGCTCACACCTTTGATAAAGTCTTGCGTGTGTCAGCTTCCTTTTTATTGATACAAAAATATGTAAATTTACTGATCTGAATTATAATATTTCTGACTGTCAAAATTTCCCAGATTTAAATCGAATCGAATTAAATCGAATCGATTCGGGACCTTGTGAATCGGGATTGAATCGATTCTAGAAACCAGTGACGATACCCAGCCCTAATTATTATAGAAAGAGCTGTATAATGATTACAGTAATTAAAAAAAACAAACGTTTATGCTGTTCTAAATTAAAGATGATGTTATTGCATTATGAATTAGAAACATAGAAAAAAAAGACACTTCTGTCATTTAGAAAATTACACTAATAAGACAATAACTGAATGTATTTGGTTTAGATTTTTATCAAGTGAGTTTTTATTGTATTTATTTCACTTTTCATACTTGATTTACTTTATTGAGCTATTGTTATATTATACTTTATTTATTTAAACTATGTCATTATAGATTATATTTAATGCTATTTCCAAATTTTTGGGAAACACAAATGTGAATTTAACATTAAACAATAATCAATCATTTTATTTTTGAAGGTTCAAGGACTTTTCCACAATGATTCTCAAGATCTGTTTCATTCTGCTTCTGCTTGTCGGTAAGTGTTAGCAAATAACAGCAAATTATATTATAAGCAGTCGAAGAATTTGTAGCAATGAGTCTGAAGTTAATCCATCAATTTCAATGTCAGCCATTTCACAGATACCAGAAGTGAATGCAGAAACCTCAACCACCACAACGCAAAATACAACCACCTCAACCCAAAGTACAACCACCTCAACCCAAGCTTCAACTATCACAATGCAAAGTTCAGCCACCAGAGCAAACAGCACCGCAGTCATTAACAAAATCAGCCTGACTTCTGTCACAATGGCCGTCGTAGCTGCTGTGCTTCCATAACATAGTTACAGTTGTAACTATGTTGTTACAACTAGCTTTTTTAACCATGCATTTGTCTGTGTATTTTTCATATCCTATCAAAGTAGGGAAGTTTCAATAAGGGGAGTGATGATAAATAAAAGGGGATCTAAACTGTCTTTTGAACACATGTAAATGATCCATTTTACTCTATGCTTTCACAAGATTGTGACTTTCTTTGTGGAAAAGGTCAACAAATAAAATGTTTACTGATCAGAGGAAATTGATTCAATCACACATATTAAGATTTATTGTGATGGCCATCTATTGTGAAAATAACTGTACCTAACCTGATTTATGGGAGAATATGTTAACTTCCTAACCAATAAATGACAATAATCACTTAAGTTTTACTCTATTTTGTGTAATTCTTTTTATTTAGCCCTTTTATTTATTCAGCATCTTTGCACTCCGACCTGCTTTTGGTGTTATTTTGACAGATCATCTAAATTAACTTTGAACTGGGACATGGGAAAGTACATGGGCTTTCTCACCAGAGAAATCAGATAATAAAATGGTTAGAAATTGCTGACTTTGCCCCCATTTTTTTTTGTGGTCCATCCATGTTTGGTCTTGCAAAATTCTCCCATTTATTTCCAATTCTTTCAGTGCCATTTTTCTAATATCCAACGTTAACACGAAAAAGGATTTTTGCTTTAAATGTCATTATGAAGCATTTTATGTTTGTACTTTATAGTGCTCGTAGAAAAATAGCACCTGATTGCCTATCACTACAGGACTTTCCCCCAGCCATATCTGATCTAATTTACTGGGGGGGGGGAGGAAGCGCACCAGCAAAATAATCCTGAAAGGCGATACTAGCAACATCTATGATTTTCCTCACAGATGCTGGAGGATTTCCTCAGTTACCTGACACATGGGGAATGCACAAAAAACTTCAGTCAACCATCCAAATGAAAAAGAAAAAAGCAGTTATAGAAAAAAAGAGAGTAGCAGATTAATACTGAACTGTTGTTTACTTAGTCCAGAGTGCTACAAAACACTCCAGTAATAAAACCTGGCTACTTATTAAGATTGAGATTTAAAGGATTATATCTGGTTGATGGTTATTCTTCCAACTAAAGGAAAAAAACATGTGCCAAAGTTTTCTTGTCAATTCTTAGGTCACAGAAATTCAAACTCCAAAGAAATCACTAGGAGCACAAATCATTTGCAACTCTTTCACCCAGTGAGAGCCAACAACTTCCAGGAACGACCGCCAACCAATTGGGGAACGCACATTTCTCCCTAGCAACCTAGCTGTATCACGTCCAATATGGCAGACAACTAATGTCCACATATTGCTTCATGCACAATACTCGAGTGGCATTGCTCTTTGAAGAATAATAAAACAAACAACGTAAACCACTCACTTGATTCCTGGGACATCACACGTGTTGGGCTTTGATGAATCATCCTGAGAAGAAAATGCAATCATGAGACACAAGTCTTGCGTCACTGGTGTACACTCTGCAGCCCTTCCCTGTCCCATTGGTACCTTCTCGTCATCCCACAACTGTTTCTGCACATCGTTGTCTGCACTTGTCTCCGAGTTCTCCGTTCCAGGCACTGTTAGCAGCAGTACTAATTAGTGAAACAGCAAGACACAGTTGCTTGCAATGACAAAAATACATAACAAACCAAAAAAAATGAGTCATCAATATCGGAGCCAGTCATGCAGAATATAGTGCTGTGCACCAGATTCTAGAGTCTATAAATAGAAGGTGACCATCAGACAGACTGAAAGGATGCCAGCTAATCTTGGCTTCGCTTTATCAGAGCTTCACACATAAAAAGACATAATCAATGCATAATCAGTTAATTATTGATTTTCCTCTCTAGATCCTCCTGAATCAGCCTCATTCAGAGATGCTACTCCTCCACATCCAGCCGAGGGCTGAACCAGAATGCAGAAACTTTGCTAGAGATCCATTTACTTTATAAATATTTCACCAAGAACTACTACTGTGTGACACCAGCCCCTTTATGTCTTTTGAGGTTTCCTGTCTGCATTAGTACATTCTACATTAATAAATAAATGCAGCTCTGTGTCTTTGTAACGGGATCTTCCTCTACCTCGTTTAGGCTGCAGCTCCTGTGATCCCCCGGCAAAGACCTCCTGGGGCTTTGGATTCATGGCGCTCTGGTGTAAGGCAGAGTCTGAATTTGTCCTGTACGTGAGAGACAGATGAAATTCAAGCAAAACCAATGCCAGCTCATGAATACTGGCAGAATTCAAGCTCTGCAGCATCAAATCTATCAGAAATCTGTTCTAGACCTTCTGGTTTACTTTAGAAGTTGTGCATCAACTAGGCTGCACAGAGTCATGTCATTTAATCTTTGGAAGAGCGCTGTATCTGGCTGTGTGTCCTAGTTCTTATTTTGGCAAATGGACAAAAGGAGGTGCCTTACCTTCTCCAGCTAGTGTCTGGCGGTGGGGAGAGGTAAACTGAGCTGTAAGGACAGCTGTCAATGTGAATTTAGTCAAGGGAAATAAATTTGTTTTCTTACCCTAATCAGCCCAAAAGACCTGCTAAATAATAAATAACCACACACAAGCTTTACTTTGATACATTTACTTTGATATCTTGTTATCAAATAGACGAATATATTGATGGTCTTGTCAACTGTCTACAACGCATCGTGTTACATAGTTCAATATCAGGCTGTCAGTACATGCAGCATAACAAACACTCACTCTCTTAAAATCCACTCAGCACCATTACTGACAGATGATATCTTAACACATCTCATATGATGAATAGTAATTGCGTTTCCTTAAACAGCAATCATTGTTAACCAGTCTGGTAGCAATCTCTGGTCCATATGACAATATAAAAACACGGATGACTAAATAACCTTAACCCCTACTTAACCACTTTCCAGGCAAACTACAGGCAACCACTGCTCCTGGAGGTTTCTGGTGTGGGGCCCTCTTTCCCATCCATTTTATCTGGTCATTGCAACCTCCAGGAACCAACGCCCAACTAGTTGGGAAATACACATCTTTCCCTAGCAACAAAGAAGTTGCTAGGGGATCTCAAAACAGTCTCTAGGCCTGTGCAACTGAGGCCTTACTTACATTCAAAACTATTCATCCCACAAAGTTTAGCCCCTATCTCAAGGCTGCATATTGGCATTTTAAGAGGACAAGTAAGAGGATATTTCCCAACATCAGTGGCTGATGTCTATCTGTTGTGTTTCTGTTTATCATCAATGGCACTGGCTAAATGTGTAGGAATAACATGACGACAAGCTAAAAGACTTTAAAATAGTCCTGATAGTGTCAGCAATGAAAACTGTCATTAGAACAAAAGGCTATTGTTTCAGAATTTCAGTCATTCATTATTCTAACTCATATCTATCTATCTATCTATCTATCTATATATATATATATATCTATCTATATATCTATATATATATATAT